TTCTCTGTTAGAACATTCACTAGAAATAAAATGTGAGCCACATATGGAATGAAAAATTCTCCAGCAATCACTGAAAAAGTAAAAAGAAAAGGATGAAATTAATTTTATTATTACATTTTACCCAACTCAATGTATCTATAATATTGTCATTTCAGCATTTACTCAACATAAAAAATTATGGGGGGACTTTCATGATGGTCCAATGTTTAGGAATCTGCTTTGTCAGTGCAGGGGGCGTGCATTCGATCCCTGGTCCGGGAAGGTGCCACAGGCTGCGGAGAAACCACTGAGCCAGAGAGCCAAGACTAGAGGGTCCTTGTGCTGCAACGAGGTCCCTACATGTTGCAACTAAGACCTGAGGCAGGCAAATAAAACAAATATTAAAAAAAGAGAAAGCTTTCAATAGAAAACTATAGGGACTTCCTTGGTGGTCCAGTAGTTAAGATTTCGAGCTTCCACTGCAGGGGGCTCATGTTCAATCTCTGGCCAAGGAACTAAGATCCTACATGAGTTGTAGTGAGGTCACACACACACACACAAAAGAATGAAATTTTAAAATATATATATATTTTTGTTCATATCTTCACAATCTGGTGTGCATTTTACACTTACATCTCAGTTTAGACTTGCCACATTTCAAGTGCTCAAGAGCCCGTGGGTATTGGATTGGACAGACCAGATAGAGGAGCTAAGACAAGGACAGGATCGCCAGAAGGCAGGGAGAGGAGAGGAGGGTGGTAAAGACAGAGTGGTGTCCCTCAGTGGGCTAATCCATGGAGGGTGTTGGAGGCCATTTGAAGGGTCTTAATCTCAAACCTGAAGCTACTGAAGAGTTAAAGTATAGTAAAAGTCCTGAGAAGTCCTGCAGTGAACAAGCCTGTTTTAACTTGTTTAACTCAGTGTTGCCATACTTATTCCCTGGGGCACCTGTTAACATCACAGACCCACATAGGGAAATGCTCCTCTAGCTTATTCCTTTTGGAGGAAGTGTTGCTTCTGAGAAATACAAGCTTCAGGAGTTGGAGACTTCAGGCCTTTGAATTTACCAAGAGTCAGGTTACTTTAACGCCTGTGTGCTGCCCAGAGCTAAGAACCAAGTAAGCAGAGGATGTTACCTCCTTGGTGGAGATTTGGCACTCTCTTTCCAAACTTTGTGGTCAACATCACTCAGGGGGATCCAAGTGCCAGCCAGGAGTTGGCGCTTAAAGCTTTTTCATTCTTTAAAGTCATCTTAAGTCCCATCTCAGTCTAATAGTCTTTTCTATTTTCTATTTCATTCTCTGACCTTGGAAAGTAGAGTTTGAGTAAGCTGTGCATTGAACTATATTTTCCATTTCTTTTCTTAGTTTCAGATGTATAGCAAAGTGATATTATACATACACACACACAGGATTCTCAGGTGGCTCAGTGGTAAAGAACCTGCCTGTCAGTGGGGGACATGCAGGAGATATGGGTTTGATCCCTGGGTCGGGAAGATCCCCTGGAGGAGGAAATGGCACCCACTCCAATATTCTTGCTTGGAAAATCCCCAGGGACAGAGGAGCCTGGTGGTCTGCAGGTGGTGGTCTTTCATTTTTATTCTGTTACAAATGCTTTCTAATTTTCCTTGGTATGGCTTCTTAAATACAAGCACCCTTTAAAAGTGGACATTTAATTTCCAAATACATGGAGTTTTAAAAATATCTTTGATATTAATTTCTCACTTAAGTGCTTTCTTCTCTGCAGTCACCCTCTGTGTTTTATTCAGTCTAACTTTACTGAGACCTTCAATGGCTAAGTCAAAGTTTTCTCTTGGTAAATGTCACATTTCACTTGAAAATATGTGGGTTATTTTCAAATATCTTTTGATACTGGTTACTAACACAATTCCACAGTGATATGAGAACAGACTCTGTATGATTTCAATACTTTTAGACCATGAAATTTTTGCACCTTACTTTATTTGTATTCCTGAATATGTTCCAGTGTCTTTTGGTTTATAGTCTATGGGAACTTGAATAAAATTTGTATCCTGCTGTTGTGTGAAAACTGTTTAAATCTTTATGCTGAATTGGTTCATAGTGCTTTTCAGGTCTACTATATCTTTCTACTTTTCAGACTGTTCATTCTGTTAATTTTTGAGAGCTTGATACTGAAACTCCAACTAAAAATCTTAATTTATCTATTTGAAATAATTGTAATATATAGTGGAACTATTAAAAAAACATATTTTTTAATAGTAATCAGAATTACTGCAATCAGAGTATCAGAATATCTGCAGGGCAAAAGAACCAGGCTTGGAAAGTATACTCAGGCAGACTGCATTGCCCAAGTCCCACTGCAGGCTGGTCTGGGGATGATGCCACCATCCCACCCTCTCCTCCCACCCTGACCCAAAGCAGAACTGGCTCCTGCTGCCCTGTTGGCAGAGTGGAGTGGCTGTGTGCTTCTAGACTCACTGGCTTTCACCTTAGAGTTTGATTGGCTGAGTTTAAACCAGGAACTCTAGCTGCAAGGGAGGCTGGCAAGGTGTGTGTTTGCTTTTCAGCTTCTGAAGTGGAAAGTGGACTCCTCTTATGAAAGGGAGGTTCATTCCTCTAACCTAGGAAGGTGTCTTCAGATGATAGACTGCCTAGAAAAATGCTCAGAACCTTTGCTAGGGTAACCTGAGACCCCGATACAAAGTTTCTGCTGAAACTCCCCAGGCAGGGTCTTCCTCCACACAGGAGGTTCCCAAGCCCTCCTTGAGATTCTTCTAGAAAATATTTTGCATATTTTATACATATGTTATGCTTTGCATAAGAGAGTTGATGTTATACTTCACTCTAATGCTGTGATTATAGCTTTACTATGTCCTTTGAAAGTTCTCACATGATGTTTTAATATAGAGACACAGGAGGGCACTCTAACCAACCAGTAATAAAATCTAAATGGTTTCATAGCCTTGGCAGTTAAAAAGATGAGTATTGATCTTGTTCAATCTTTTTTCCAGGTAGGATAACCAGCTTTGCAAGAGTACCTAGCTCTCCTAGGGAATACTTGTGACAGGGGTCCCCAAGACACACCCTCCACATTGTCCACTTCAAGTTCTAGGGGCTATGATTTGAGTAACTCAGAATAGAGAAGGGGATTTTTGACTCACAGGTTGCCTACTGACTCAACCAGACAAGAGATGGAGACTTGGCTCCCAAACGTTCCTATTTAGAGGCCAACTGGCTAAATCAAACTAAGAGCAGAAGAGAAAGATCTGGTTATCAGAGATTTGCTTCAGAGCTACAGCCTGTTCCTCTGACTCAGTTTTCCCATCGGTAGAATGGAGATGACATCTGACTTATGTCTGTATAGTTTGCCAGTGGAGAAGGAGAGCGTTAAGAATGGCGNGGGGGGGGGGGGGGGGATTTCTGGGGGTACCATGTACTCACGACCAGTGAGTTTCACACTGAAAAAATAGAGCTGGCCTGCCTCTTGTTAATGAATTCTAGTGCAGGACGGACGAAGCGCGCTTTGGCGCTGGCAACTGGAGTGACAAAAGAAACGAGGATAGGTCGGAACAGGACCGGCTGCTCCAGCCTGGTTTCCCCACACAGATCTCCCAGGCTGGGGCGCAGACACCGGCGAGGAAAGGGCGCGGGGCTGCTCCGGCGGTTTTCCTCTCCGCGGGCAGGAGCGGGACTGGTTCCAGGCCCCCGCGGGGTTACTTGCGGTCAAAGGTGCAGTCTGGCTGGAAGAAGGCGGATGGCGGTGCGCAGCCAGCCGCGGCGCTTTCTCTCTCCTGCCTCCTCGGCGCTCCCGAGGGCTGTGGAGGCGTAGCCGCTCCGGAATCTTCCTGGCCGCCGGCTGCCGAGGGCCCCGGGCTCAGCCCCCGACCCCTGCTCCAGATGCAGGCTCCGGGGGGGCGGGGAGGCGGTCGCCGCCTTCTGTCCCGGGGTTCCGGGCGCGGAGCTGGAGCCGGCACCCGCCGGAGGAGCAAGGATGCACGCAATGAAGGGAAGAAGAGGAGGGCAAAAAGGGGACGGAGAGGAAGAAGCTGCCTCATTCCCCTCGATAGGGGTGGCGCGCCTCCGCCCCGACAACTGGCACTGGTTGAGAGGCTGAGATCCCCAAGCCTGGCTCATTGTTTCCTTAGGGGAGTGTCGCCTGGCGTCCCTCTAGTCCTCCAGCCCCAGGTATGAGAGCTCCTGCCACGCGGCAGGCCCCGCGCGCAGCGCTGTGTGTATTATCCTGTTTGTGTGTGTTGCTCAGTCGTGTCCAACTCTTTGCGACCCCATGCGCTGTAGCCCACCAGGCTCCTCCGTCCATGGGATTCTCCAGGCAAGAATACTGGAGTGGGTTGCCATGCCCTTTTCCAGGGGATCTTTCCTAACCCAGGGATCGAACCCCGGTCTCCCACATTGCGGGCAGATTCTTTACCAGCTGAGCCACCAGGGAAGCTCAGATGGTATTATCCTGGATCTTTTAATTTCCTCAACATCCCTAAGCGACAGGAACTGTTACCACCGGTGTACTGGGGAGGAAGGAACGGCTTTGGGGGAGTTGCGTGGCTTGCTCTGAGTTCTGTAGCTAGTGGCGAACGAGCACTCCGAGAAGGGTCAGAGCGATCCTGACACCCAGGCTACAGTCCGCAGCCTCTTAGCTCTGCCGGGTTATTGTCGGATCACGCCGTCTGCACCTGTCACGGGCCTCGCTCGCAGCAGGAAAGGGAGTAAAGAAGAACCACAGGGTGACCACGTGTCTTTTCTCCATTCGGACCGTTGGCCCTTGGCGAGGAGAGAGCGTTGCGCGCGCGCGGATGGCTTTGCGTCTTGGAGAAGACAACCTTCCTTCTCCAGGGATCGCGATCGCAGAGGGAGCAGGGCTATGGGGCAACGACTCCCCTGGGGCTGCAGGGGGTGGCAGAGGATCTTGGGTCCGGGAGTGGACACTGGGAAAAATAGGGTGGTGAGAGCGCGGCTGCCTCCGGAGCCGGCTGGGGAGGAAACAAGCCTGCGCTTGCGGAGCGTCCACGCGGTGGGTGTGCGGCGCTTTCATTCAAACTTTGGGGAGTCTGGTTCTGGCGTCAGCGAAGGTGTGACCAATCAGAGTCCGGGAACGGGAATAAATTATGCAAATCACCATCTGGCGATGGATCAGATGACTCCCAATACTTTTAAAAAGTACCTCGCCGGGAGCTCGCTGGGTGACAGTGGCGAGCCCTGGCTTCCTGGGCTGGCGCACGAGAGAGGGCAGATCTGGTTCTGGTTCAAGCCCCTTCACATTCCCCCCACCATCCGGCGGCTGAGTTTAGCCGAGTTTTCATCTTACCCCTTCTCCACCTTCAGCTGTCTAAGGCCACCGCGCTCTCTGCTGGAGAGAGGGCTGCCCACTTGGGGTCTTACAGGCTTGGCCCGCTGGAAACTTCGAGAGGTGTTTTTGTCTTCTTCTTCTTTTTTTTTTTTAGTCTTTTTAAAAGTCCCATTTTGGAGAAGGGGGTGCGGGGAGGGGGCGGTGAGGATGAGAAACACCGTTCTTCAGTTCTGCCTGTGGAGCGCCTATTGTTGCTTTGCCACGGGAGACCCCACACCCCGTGGTCCGGAGGGACGGCTGCAAGGTAACGTGCACTTATTTTTATTACCACACCCACAATTTCTTTTCTGGCCCAGGTGCCCTCTGTCTTGCCCACTCTTCTTCTGCGATGCTGCAGCATCCTCCTTGCTTTCCGCCTGCGCTGTCCATTCGCTCCTCCTAATTAGTCTTGCAGTTCACTTGTTCCTCAGTGCTTCTGACCAGGGCATCCCAGAGCCGGCCGGCTGCCGGCTGCTGGGTGCGCTCGCCCGCGCTCGGTCCGGCTCCACCCCTTTGCCGTTAATATGCACCCTTATCGATGCTGTCCAGTCAGCAGAGTTGGCTGCCAGCAGCTCTTTAACTTTGCCCTCCTCTTTGAACCTGCGGGTTTTCGGGGCAAGAAGGTTGTTAGAAAGAACTCTGTCATCTGGTGCTCTTCTTTTTAATCTCGGCTAGATGCTTTGAAAGTTAAGGTGTCCAGGTAGCTGGTTCTGGTTTAAGGAGCGCTTTTGGGGAGGATTTGGTGGGTAATTTGTGCAGAGAACCCCAGGCTGCCAGCCTCCTCCTTCTCCCCAAGAGTCTTTCCAGCCTCTGCTCTTCCTCTTGCTACCTCTCTTCCTTCCAGCTGCCAGCCTTTCTTTTTCAGTCTCTTCTATTGGAGGAAGCATGCCCTGGTGGAGCAAGGGTAGGGTCACCCTGCAGGAGTACCAGGTCAGTTGGTTAAGCAGAGGAGAGTGGGGAACCCCTGAACCATATCCTATTAGCTCATCTTCTACTATCCTGTTGTTCAGCTCAGTTCAGTTCAGTCGCTTAGTCGTGTCTAACTCTTTGCGACCCCATGAACTGCAGATTGGGTCAAATGATATTGGTCCAAGTTGCTCGTGTATGAGCAGGAGGGTTAATCAGAATGAATGGAAAAATTACTTAACATGTTCCCAACTCTAGTATAGTTGAACCAGAGTAAGTTGCGTTTCTAGTTCCTCTCCTGTAAAATGCTAACATTCCTTTCAACTTCTATGTTCTGTGATTCTAAGTATTTGGGTTTTTTTCCCTTCATTCAAAGAAGTCTTTATTTGCCAGGAACGCTTCTGTGAGTGGGGCTTCCCAGGTGGCACAGTGGTAAAGAATCTCCCTGCCAACGCAGGAGCCACAGGCAACATGGGTTCCATCCTGGGTCAGGAAGATCCCCTGGAGGAGGAAATGACAATCCACTCCAATATTCTTGCCTGGAAAACCCCATGGACAGAGGAGCCTGGTGGGCTACAGTCTATGGGATCCCAAAGAGTTGGACATAACTGGGCAACTGAGCACGCAGGCTTTTAGGAGGATACAGCAGTGAACCAAACAGGTGTAAACCCGTACCCCCAGGGATCTTGCATTTCAGTGGTGAGAAGAAGTCAGCTACTTAAAACATAGAAATAGTGCTCAGTATTATGGAGCAAAATAAAGGAGAGAAGGAAGGTACAGATGGCTGGAGGGAGAAGGTGGTGTAGCGTTAGTCTGTAACCAGACTTCCCACACTGAGGAGCTGACTTCTGAGCGAGGAACTGGAGGAGAGGAGAGGATGAGCTTGGGGACATCTGGATGAAGGATGACTATGAAATCCCAGAGGCTGAAGTGACGTGGGCTGGAATTAGTAGAAATGAGCTAGAGAACTGTGTGGTCAGAGACAGCCAGGTGCTAAAGTGAACCTTTTATGTTCACCTTATGTGGGTTTATCCACAAGTCAGTGCTGGGAAGCCAGCAGACCCTCTCCGCCTTTTCCCTAGACTTTCCATCTGGTCTCTATGAGTGGCTATCTGGGTGGAAACTGGGAGATTTTGAACAAATTATGTCCACGGTTCAAATTTCTGCCAGTTGGGGCTTTTGTGTATTACTTTAATGACAGAGTTCTGCTCATGTGTATTTAGTTGCATTTTCTGGAACCTTATCCTTTTTACATCACCACCAACCCCTCTACCACTCTAGTCTCTCTTTCCATGACTCCATTTGTTTGTTTGTTTTTCTTTCTTTTTAACTCTGGGATAATTAAGCTCCTGGTATGGTCATTTGGTCCATTTTCCCTTGGTTTCTGGGTGACTGGACAGTTTAATTGTCTAATTTCCTAGCCTGTTATCAGGGGTGGTATCCTGGATGATTAGAACAGGGCGGCTGCCGCTGCTGCTAAGTGGCTTCAGTCGTGTCCGACTCTGTGTGACCCTATAGACGGCAGCCCACCAGGCTCCTCTGTCCCTGGGATTCTCCAGGCAAGAATACTGGAGTGGGTTGCTCCTCCAAGGGATCTTCCTAACCCCGGGATCAAACCCTTATTTTCTACAATGGCTGGTGAGCTCTTTACCATTAGTGCCCAGTGGGAAGCCCTGATGATGACAATACCTAGTGTTAAAAGGTCTTGGGACCATCAGTAACATATGCTGTGTTTTGAAGTAGGGCCATCTTCTAGATAGTGCTGTGTGTGTGTGCACGGTGGAACTGAAAGGAGAGGTTTTGCTGCTCTTACGAGCTTCTCTATGGCCTCAATAATTTATTTAATAAGGTAAAAAAGTGTCTGGCACCTGTCTGGTACTGCAAGAAGCACTGAGAGTGCATGAGGTGTTTGGGGTAAGTGCCAGAATTGACATGGGAGCAGCAGGAAAGCCCAGTGTTTAAAAGGCCAAAGTTCCTTACCTCCATTTACAAAATCTTTCAAAACTGAAAAATTTGACTGGCAACTTGTTTAGCAGCAAGACCTGGCCTTACCTAACCTGAATTCTTACACATTTGGCATCCAAAACTGACCTGAACCAAGATGGTCTTTAAAATCTTTTTCTTTTTTCTTTTTTTGCCCTTTACTATGAGTAGTCATATATTTCCTTACAGAAATGTTATTGGTGTGTTTGATGAATGAGGAATGCTCCAAACCCTATATATATATATATATATATATAGTCTTGCTATATATATACATCATAATACCTGTTTAAAATCTGAACATTTCTGAATTCTAAAATGCAAGTCTGTGTGAAAGTGTAGTTGCCCAGTAGTGTCTGACTCTTTGAGATCCTATGGACTGTAGCCCACCAGGCTCCTCTGTCCATGGGATTTTCCAGGCAAGAATACTGGAGTGGGTTGCCATGCCCTCCTCCAGAGGCTTTTCTCAACCCAGGGATGGAACCCTGGTCTCCTGCATTGTGGAGACTCTCTGGACCACAGTAGGAAGCCCTACAGTAGTTGATACTAGTGACTAGTTAACACTCTTAAATATTGGTGAGGTGTGCCTTTTATAACATCTTTGCAACTCTTCTGTCAGATGAGATGGAAACATTCAGCAGATGTAAACGCTGAAACCCAGAAGGGTTAAGTAATTAGTTCAAGAGTGATCTAGAACTGGACCCCAGAGCTCTCACCACCCGGGGCCTGCTAGTTACCCGTACGCTCTGTTCTTTCTCCCCAGATGAGTTCGACAAATCCAGGGTGGTACCAACTGCCTCCAAACCCCCTGTGAGATTTAACCTCCGCACCTCGGAGGACCCAGAGCATGAAGGATGCGATCTCTCCCTTGGCCACAGCCAGCCCTTAGAGGACTGTGGCTTCAACGTGACAGCCAAGACCTTTTTCATCATTCACGGATGGACGGTGAGCCCCGGGGGGAAGTAGCTCTCCGGCTCTACACGGGATTTGGTCTCCTTTGTTTTGGTCAATTAAAAAGCACACTGGTGCTTCCAGATTCCGCTCTTTCTCCCCCTCTTTTCTTGTGGGCTGCTTGTATTTCAGACAGCTGTGAAGAATGTAACGGGCACTTCGCTGAGGGGGCAATCTGGACTCCAGCAGGGTGGCATTTAATGCTGGCACGCAGCAGGCTTTCAGAAAGTGGCTCTCCTGAGGGCAGTAGCCCAGCTCCACTGGCTCTTAAGGGGCCCTCTAATTACACTTAATTACATTGGTCAACCGCTGCCTCATGGGGGCCATCCCTTTGCGAGAGCCCAGCTGAACTGAAGCAACTTGACTGGCTCAGACAGTCTGTGAGGAGCCAGCTGGCCTGGCTGATTGGCCCTGGTTGGCACAGTGCCCTCCTGTTTGCCTAGAGATGGTTCCATTTAAAGGCACTGGAGTCTTTCTATGCCCTCACTGAGCCATTCACATCGAAAAGCCCATAACAAACTTCAACAAAAAGAGGGCTTTAATGCTCGGCCTCAGAAGCTTTGGACCAGCGAGGGATTTATCCATTCATCTAATGACAGTCTGTAGGAAAATGGCACTGTTAAGTGAGCAGGTTTCTGCCAGGGCTAATTGGGAGGGAATGTTCCTCCCCTTAATGATGAGAAATTCATATCCGTTACATGCTTGCTGGGTCTTTAGGTCTATCACCAACTGTTGGTGTCAGGCCTGGCTAGGGGCTGTTATGTAGGCACCTATGTACTAAATGCAATCGAAGGGATCGTTAAGGGCCTGTCTGTTCATCCTCACCTCACAGCCTATGATTAGAATCACGCATTTAGATCTTTTAAAGGCCCCCCTGTCAAAATGCAAATACAGACTGCCTGCAACTGACAAACGCATTCCAGAAAGTTCTTTTGTAATCTGTTTGGAACTTGGAACAGCAGTTTCCCATAGAAGCAAGATTGTAAATGGCCTTTGGGTTCCCAGGCCAGGCACAGGAAATCTATTTATCTAATAATGCACTCATGGATAGGTTTACAACTGGACCTAGTCACCATTTACACTTTGTTTCTGTGGGGAAATGTGCTCTGAGTTCTAATTTGGGATTCCAGCAACAGATCTTCCCTCCTCTGGGGTCAAGAGGGATGGCAGAGATGGGTTGTGGGAAGGGGTCATTTGTTAACTTGGCATTTGCCTAAGAGACAGGATCTCCTTGCATCTCTGAGAAAGTAACTGATTCTCCAGGGCAACTCTTCTCAGCTGCTTTTGAATGCTGGACCAGGTCACTTACTTGCCTGACTGCGACAGGGCTAACCTCAGGTCGGCACGGCTGCCAGCATGTATCTCATAGCAGCCCTCTTGGTCAGTGGGGCAGCAACACAGGACAGCAGCTTGGACATTTTCGATGGGGAAAACTGGAGACGTCATCAAGGGCAATGGAAGACAGTCGCTCACCTAGCAATCCTGACTGTGGCTGGCCCCGCTCATGGGCAAGCGTTGGTGCCTGGGGGACCAATGAGACTGTTCCATGGCTGGGGAGAGGGTCATGAAACTGAATTCCATGTTCGTTTGCATTTTTCAAATCCAGAAAAAGAATTTTTTTTAAAAACTCCTGTTTTCTCTGCAGATGAGCGGCATGTTTGAAAACTGGCTGTACAAACTGGTGTCAGCCCTGCAGACGAGAGAGAAAGGATCCAACGTCGTGGTGGTGGACTGGCTCCCGCTGGCTCACCAGCTTTACATAGATGCGGTCAATAACACAAGGCATGTGGGACTCAGCATCGCCAAGATGCTCGACTGGCTGCAGGTAACAATGGGACTGAAGGGAATCATCTCCTTTTCTGAGAAGGATCTTGAGTCTGAACCCTTTTAGGAAACACAGATCAGACTATTACAGTGAGCCAAGACTATCTTTGAGATTCAAATTTTTACTGAGTTAAGTATTGCTTGAAATATTTTGGAAGCTGGAACTTTTAGAAAGCTTTCTAATTATTGACTCATTTCTGTATTTTTCCTATTGCTTTACTTGAAGGAAGAAAATTTGCCTTCTGGGTCGTTACTTGCTGATGCCTTTCAGAAGCTTGTAATCTTTAAAACATTTTTTGATTAGTTAATTTCGGCTGTGCTGGGTCTTCATGGCTGCACGCGCTTTGTCTAGTTGCGGCGAGCCGGGGCTGCTCTCCCGGGGCGCTGCTCAGGCCTCTCATTGCCGTGGCTTCTCCTGTGGAGGCTTCCCTTGTGGTTCAGTGGTAATGAATCTGCCTGCAAGGCCACAGACGTGGGTTCGATCCCTGGGTGGGGAAGATCCCTTGGAGGAAGAAATGACTACCCACTCCAATTTTATCGCCTGGGAAATCCCATGGACAGAGGAGCTTGTTGGGTTTCAGTTGTTGGCGCGTATGGGCTCAGTAGTTGCGGTTCCCAGGCTCTAGAGCACAGGCTCAATTGTTGTGGCACATGGGCTTCGTGGCTCCATGGCATGTGGGATCTTCCCAGATCAGGGATGGAACCTGTGTCTCCTGCCTTGGCAGGTGGTTTCTTTAGCATTGAGCCACCAGGGAAGCCCAGAAGCTTGTAATCTTAACTACCTACTGAGGTCTGCTCTTATTCTGAGGGGTGACTGGGCTGAGGGTGGGAGGGTTGGTCCAAACAAATGCAGTCTAATACCTTGCATAAAATATATGCGGGAAACAGACCTTGAGGTCTTACATTTGCTTTTATAGGTTAATGATTTGCTTGGGCTCAGTGGACTTAATGGGAGGCAGGAGTATTCTGGTAGAGTAACTCAATCGTCTGGGCAATTTCAACCTGGCCTTCCTTTAGAAGCCCATAAATCTGATGAATTGTGGCAAAATTCTGGTCAGAATTCTCAAAGAGTCTTCAATCCTCTGCCTAGGTTGTTTAGTTGAGCTTGGTTCCTGAGCCGTGGGTCAAATCCCTCCTCACCCCCATCACCGAGTACCTTCCCTGTCAAGGTCTGATGCTTCGGCTCTGGGATCCCAGCAGGCTGGTGACGAGGAGGTGGGCAGCTCCTGGGCCTAAGAGAATGGGCAGGGAGCGCCCTGCTGCAGACTGTGTCTGGCACTTAGTCTCCGGTGCATCTGGCGGGTTTTGACCTCCACACTGTCACCCCTCCCCTCCTTACACACAGCTGGAAACATGTAGAGAAAGGACCCTCATCGCTCAGTTGATAAAGAATCTGCCTGCAGTGCAGAAGACCCCAGTTCGATTCCTAGGTTGGGAAGATCTGATGGAGAAGCGATAGGCTACCCACTCCAGTATTCTTGGGCTTCCCTTGTGGCTCAGCTGTTAAAGAATCCGCCTGCCATGGGTTTGATCCCTGGGTTGGGAAGACCCCCTAGAGAAGGGAAAGGATACCCACTCCAGTATTCTGGCCTGGAGAATTCCGTGGACTGTATAGTTCATTGGGTCGCAAAGAGTCTGACACGACTGAGAGACTTTCACTTTCAGGTATGCAGCCGCTAGTCACCACCTGCACCCCGTCCCTGGTGTGTGATGACTGAAGTGCCCCCAAGTCCTCTCCAGCTCCCCTTACCTGGCTGTGTCCCATCTGCGTTGCCCTGCCGGCACTACCAGCCACCTCTGGGCTCCCTGTCCCCTCCCCGACGTGACTGACTGGTTGAATTGCTGGCGACCTGTGGGCTCAGGACCACCTTCCTCACCCCTACCCTTCTGTGACTTTCTGCAGGGGAAGGAGGACTTTTCTCTCGGGAATGTTCACTTGATCGGCTACAGCCTCGGAGCTCACGTGGCCGGGTACGCGGGCAACTTCGTGGAAGGCACGGTGGGCAGAATCACGGGTAAGTGCGGCCCCCTCACTCGGGGCTGCTCCCGGGGCTCCCTCCCAGAGCCCTTGGAAAACTGAACTTGTGCGGGATTCCAATATATGAAGCAGATAGAAGGGATGTTCTGGTCAAAGCTGGGTATGTGTGGGTAGTGTTAACTTTGTTATTTGAGTCTTCCGCTTCTCTGGAGGAAGCTCTGGTTCCCCGAGCACCAGGGAGCATGCTTGGAAAACCACTGGTTTAGTGCAAAAGGTGAGGAAGCACTCAGACAGCTAAAGAGACTCAAGGGCATCCCTGGGGTGAAGCCTGGCCTGCAAGCTCTGGCGCTCACTTTTAGTCTCTGCTGTGATGCGCCAGGAGCTCAAGGGAAAGGAATGAGTAGTGAGTTGTGGTTTGAATTCTGCCTCTGATTTCTATTTCATTCACCAACAGCATCTTTCCAGTGTTTGACTGGCATTATTTATTAGTGATAGTGACCTCTTTAGAATGTGTGGTTAAACTTTGTCCTTAAAGAGACCTTTCTGATAGTGGTACCCAGGTTGGCAATTGAAAGTTGAATTTTCCATCTTAGTGAGTTTTTTTTTTTAAGTGAAAGTGAGTTTATTTAGAGAGATACACATTCCATAGGCAGAATTGGTGACCTTCTGCTGTGAGAGTTTGATTTAAATATTTACATCATCTAGTGATTGGGAAAAGTGGGAAGGACTCTCCCATTTGGGGGCCCCTGAAACACATAACGCAGAGCTTCCTCTAGGAGAAAATCAGAGACAAATCTGTTGCCCTGAATTTTTGTCCTCCTGCCTGCATTCTTTTTTTGTTTTCCCTCCCTGCTTTCACCACACCTCCAACACATTAAGGGCCCAACTGGTCACCCAGAAGGAAATAGTTAATCATTTCCTTCCTGGCAATGTGTATTCATTTTGAAACAGGACTCAGGTAGAAGGGAGTCCTTAGCTAAAGAATGATTTAGTAAAGGCAGAGTTTCAATAAGCCAGCAGGGTAGATTTGAAATTATATAGAGGGACTTCCCTAGTGGTCCAGTGGCTAAGACTCTGTGTTCCCCTTGCAGGGGGCACGGGTTTGATCCCTGGTCAGGGAACTAGATCCTGCACGCAGTCACATTTGCGAGGTATAGTAGCCCTCCTCAAATCATCGTCCCCGGGCTTAAGTCTAACGAGCACATACATGCATACGCACGCGCATGCGCGCGCACACACACACACTCCTTTAGATCCAACTGTTTGATCCAGCATAACTTGAGAGCTTCACTTTTGATTATCAAGTCAGCGGGGCCTGAACTGTTCAATGGGCAGTGTGGCCACACATGACTGCTCAGTAACGCAGGGCTGGAGCAATGCTCATGGGCCTTGAGCGCCTCTGGGTTCTATTGTCTGCGCGCCTCCTCCTCGCCCCCAGGAGAGGCCTGGTGTTGCGGAGCCGGGCCGGCTGTGCGCAAAGGCAGCACACACAGCCCCCGCCAGGGCGCCGGGGCCAGTGTCCTTGGCAACGGAGACAGATCCTCCCTCTCCCTGTCCCTGAATCTGAAGTGGGATGGGGCTTGTCGGAGCATTCCGGTTCCTTCCCCTGCCTGTCTGGGTGGGAGCTGCTGAGATGCGGGCTTCTCGGGCAGAATGCTGATCAGTGTTCTGGGCCGTCCGCGGGGAGTGTGGGGGCCAGCTTGTCCGGAGCGCGGCCCCTTCTCTGCAGCCTCTCTCTGAGGAGCGGGGCACCGGGGCGAACATGACAAGGAGTGGCCTCTGTCCAGTTGCCAGGCAGCACCTCAGGGGGCATTTGGCTGACCTGACGCATGTTGCTGTGCATGTCTGATGGGGGAGGCCTGTGCCCCCTCCTCACCCCTCAGACTTTCCATGGGCCTGGGAACTGGGCGGTCCTGACAGGCAAGAGGACCAGAGACGGCAGCTTGTGTGGAGTCCAGAGGCCAGGGAGGCCGCTGTGCAGAGGCAAGTAGGGGTCCTTCGCCTGGGCCTGCAGGGGGTACCTGAACCCCAGTCTTGCTTGGATAGGAGAACTGTGGACTTGGGGTCTGTTGGAGTTTCACCCTCTTAGGCTTCTGAGGGAATTCCGTGATCCACTAGGGAAGAGGTCATACATTTCTAATTGTACTCACATCTTGTTACTTATAAAGAAAGAAGCAAGCAGATTTGTTCATTCATTCAAGAGATATGAACTAAGTGTCCACCCTGCATGCTGTGGGCTAGATACGACCTAATGTCAAGTACTCTGGGTAACCGATATTTTGTGCCATCTGTAAGCCATATAGCATCGAAGCCAAAGAATTCTCCGGGCTTCACTTTACAGATGGGGAAACTAGGGCTCTGTGCTTAAATAACGGGCCCAGCACTTAACACCTTGATGGCAGAGCTGGGATTCGGACCCAGGCCATCGGACCTGCCCTGCACCACTGGGCCATGCTGCCGGTCTCCTGCTGGGAGGGAAGCAGTAGTTGTGACAGTTTCCTGCCAGGCAGGAGGCAGAGGTTTTCCTGGGCATTATGTGTGAGCACAAGAGTGTGTGTGCACACGCATGCAGGTGTGTGTTCCATTTGCTGGACAGGGCACCTTTGGGGGAGTCTGACTGAATGGAAGGAGGGGTGCTTCTCCATCTTCTCTTTTTGGACTGGATGCATTCACCCTCCCATTCCTAGTTAAATAAATTGTGCAAATGTCCTGCAGGGTTTGTGGGCCTTGGCTACGTGTCAGGCAGGGTCAGTCTGGGGAGGCGAAGGCTCAGCCTGCCAGCCAGCCGGCCTTTCGAGAAGCCCCATCAGCCAGCGGCATTCCCCTGGCCCAGCTTGGTTTCCATGGTGCTGACTGTCTGGTGGAGACTTTTGTTCACTGATGCAAAAGCCCCCCTCTTATTGGCTGCAAAGCAAAATGTTTCTCTTCTTTCTTTCTGTCTTTTTTTCCTCCAGGGCACATGGTGAGAGGCAGGGAGAGGCTGCCTGTGTCAGTACTGGGTCCGTTCAGTTGCTAAAAAGAGTCATCGAGGCCTTCTCAGGAGGGCCGCTGCTTTTGTGCCGTCTTTCTTTTAGGTCCTGGGCTAGAGAGGAGCCCCCAGGCAGCCTGGGCTCTCTTTCTGCCTCTGTCATTCATACATTTTTCTAAACTTCTCTTGGAAACTATTTAGAGTTTCAGTTATTACCAGTTCTCATGAGTAGTAAGTCCCACAGGTTTGCTATCCACTCTGAACCACAGCTCTGCCTTTCGTTTCTCCTAAAATCGCCCTCCACAAGCCTCACTACGTGCTTCCTGGTTCCAGTGCTCTGGGGTCTGGGGAACAGGGTTCTATCACCCATCTCCTGCTTTCACAGCTCTATTCTCGGTCATTCTCCTCCCTAGCTTGGTGTTATTCTAGATCCAGGCTTCTCAGCCTCAGCACTATTCACACGTGGGGCCAGACAGTGCTGGTGTGGGAGCTGACCTGTGCCTTGTAGGATGTGTATCGGCATCCTTGGCCTCTCCTCACTAGATGCCAGCAGCTTCTTCTCTCCTTTTCCTCAATTGTGACAAAGAAAGATGCCTCCTGACACGGCCAGGGATCCCCTGGGAGCAAAACCCTTCCCAGCTGAGAACCACTGTTCTAGACTAAACAAACCTTCCCCAGTGGCGCACAATCTTCTCTTTGCTTTCTCCAGGTCCTTTTCTCTCTCTCTCTCTCTCGCTCTCGCTCTCTTTCTGTGTATAGGGCAAACAAAGAACTTTCTAATGAGGTGGATGAAACTAGAACCTATTATACAGAGTGAAGTAAGTCAGAAAGAAAAACACCAAAAAAAAAAAAAAAAAAAGAACTTTCTAGGCTAGGATGAATTCAGCTCCGATAATTACTTGGTAATAGTAGCTAGTATTTACATTGACAAGCACTTACTCTCTTAATATCACACACGAACTATATGAATTAACACATTAAGATTTCATTTTCTAGATGGTACTGAAGCATGGGAGAAGTTTTTTTCCCAAAATCTGGTCCACAGAACGCTTAGTTTTAAGATCACCTGGGGAATAAGCCTCTCTTTCTGGGTTCTACACTAGACCTACCAATCAGAATCTCTTGGAGGTCAGGGAATCTGCATTTTATGCTTTGCTAATTCTATTTTGGAATAGTTTTACATTCATGTGCATGTGTGATAAGTCACCTCAATCATGTCTGATTGCAAGCATATAGACTTGGCCCGCCAGGCTCCTCTGTTGTTGGCACTCTCCAGGCAAGAATACTGGAGTGGGTTGCTGTGCCATCTTCCAGGAGATATTCCCAACCCAGGGATCAAACCCACGTCTCTTACATCTCCTGCATTGGCAGGCAGTTCTTTATTACTGCCTGCCAGGAATAAAGGGTTTCCCATCTGGGAAAACCCTATATAGTCATGTGGTCCCAGATACTATAAAAGATGGTGAAATTGTCTCTATTGTTGCCACTATCTTCATGGTTACCTGCCCTACCCTCTCCCCCAACACACATACACACAGGAAATCTGGGACTTGTGTGTTCTTCCAGAGTTTTTCATAGTTACACAGTAGAACCTGAATTTGTAAGAAGCTCCCCGCAGATATTTGTGCTGATTAAAATGTGAGAACCAGGGCTCTCTGCAGTGCTGCTTGTTTGTTTGATACAGAAGGGTTGCAGGCAAAGGGTTTTCTGCTTGTGCCTGCAGAAGGGAGGGATCTGGACGCCTGAAATACGGATGCTCAGTGTGTTTCTGGTGCACCTGACTCATAACTAACGGAAGAGGAAGAGAAAGTCCAGATACAGATAGCTCAGTCTGGGGAGACTGAGTCTTCCCTTTTGGAGATATAGGTAGCTCAGTTATTCTGTCAAACTTTTGCTAAGACCAAGGTTGTGGAAGGCTCCTGGTGGCAGAATAAGTGGGAGGAATGACTTGGTTTCAGCCAGCCCGAGTTCTTTCTAGAACTGCTTCGGTTCTGACGGTGTGTGATTCTTTGGATCCACATGTTGGCTGAACCTCGTGACCAGTTTATTGAGTCAGGTAGAGTCTTGATAAGAAAGCCAGCATTCCTATATGGCAGGCACCACACCGTGCAGGATTCCCAGGGTGCGGACGTCTTCATTTTGCGCTCGCAGACTCAGCTATCCAGTGGATCTCAGCACACCTGACACATCCCATCTTGGCTCCCCTTCTGCCGTAGGTTTGGATCCTGCTGGGCCCTTGTTTGAAGGGGCGGACATCCACAAGAGGCTGTCTCCTGACGACGCAGACTTCGTGGATGTCCTGCATACCTACACGCGTTCCTTTGGCTTGAGCATCGGCATTCAGATGCCTGTAGGTCATATTGACATCTACCCCAATGGGGGTGACTTCCAGCCGGGCTGTGGACTCAACGATGTCTTGGGGTCGATTGCATATGGAAGTGAGTTCCTTAATTTTTCTTTTGGCTCAATTATTGCATCTCTTCCTGGATCAGCTCGAGCTATTATTGTTCCTGACAACATTCATTTCGTCATTCCCTCTTCTCCCTGCAGTGGCCCTTCAACACTGTTTATCCTACAGTTCATCATCCTGCAAGCCTATTCACAGTCTTCCCGTGGTCTCTGGTCTGCTGTCTTATGCTTTGAGGTCATAGTTATTATTGTTATTCTTCTTATAACAAAAGGAATACATATTTGTTGGGAAAAAAATCAAGCATTATAGAATTGCCTAAAGCAAGATGTAAAAATACCCCCTCATCTCCCACACCCACTCTTATTTTTATTATCCAGAGGTAGCCAATATAGATATTTTGTGTGTATCCTTCCAGGCTTTTTGCTTTACAAATTTATTTGTGTGTGTGTGTGTGTGTGTGCATGTGGTACTTTTCAAAATCACGTTGTCCTGCAGCTTTGCTTTTTCAGTCTTAATATACATTATGGACATTCTTAGACATCAGAATACATAGATCTATTTACTTTTTTTCTTTCTAAAGGCTGTATAATATTCTTTAGCATGGATGCACCATAATTTAATTTTTTGTAACTTTTTAAAGAAGTAAAATCAAGAGGCTTCCTCACTCACTAACAAGTCTGTCTTCCTGAATGCCTAAGCCTATTCCCAGCAGTCTTGGGTGGAACTTAATTTGCAGCTGAAACTGATGAGCCAGGTTTCTCATTTGCTCACTGCCTTGCATCCTGTCTTTTTGGATTTCTGTCTTGGCACCAGTTGACTCTTTGCTCTGATGCTCTGCTCTTTGCATGTCCAGCTCTGTCACTCAGTCTTAGGGTGACCTCTCCCAAGGTGTTCTGTAACATTCACGGAGGCCCTGTGGGGCTTGGGGTTTATGCAAGGGGAGTGCAGCCCTGCCTCTAGTGATTAGGCATTTTTTAAGTCTGGTGATGTTAATGAGGAAGGAAAGGGGAAGCTTTGCCAAATGTTTCTGAAGGTCCCAGAATTTACTAGAACTATCAGCTTTAGCCTCTGGTTGCAAGAAATAATGATTACTCTGGGTCAGAAAAATTCAAATTATGCTCCTAACTTTGTAACCAGTTGGCTCTGTGACCCTGAGCAAATGACTTCAGCTTTAAGGGCCTCATCATCTGTAATTGAAAGAACTGGACTAGAATGAGGTTGCCAAACATTTTCTTAGAGAGTCAGTTAGTAAATATCTTCAGCTTTGCAAGCCATGCAGTCTCTTGGTTTCAAAACTCTGCCCTGCTCCCATAGCGTGGAAGCAGCCAGAGACAACAGGCAAATGAACGAGTGTGGCTATGTTCCAATAAAACTTTACAAAAAATGGGACAAACCTGCAAGGTGTAGTTTGCTGAGCCCTGGACTAGATGATGTTTAGCATCGGATCCATTTCCAGTATTTTGTGACCACACACCTCCATCAGGACTTAGTGACTCCTCCTGCACAACTGGTCTCCATCAACCTGTATAAGGCTTGTCCTATGTATTCCTTTGCTCTTTATTCCTTTGTGTGTATCGGTGCGGTCTTCCTACCTGGAGGGCAAGCAGTTCAGTGGCAGGACTAGCCTTCAGTTCTAAAGAGAGCACAGTGTGTGTTAAGAATGACACAAAGAAGCATATGAATAGCAGCATGAAAAGTAGTGATAACTGACCCGTGAGTCCTAACTGATGGAGCAGGCAGATCACCAAGGAGCAGCTCAGTCCTGACGGTCTCCATCTCCCTCTTTCCCAGCGATCGCAGAGGTGCTGAAATGTGAGCACGAGCGGGCAGTACACCTTTTTGTCGACTCTCTGGTGAATCAGGACAAGCCAAGCTTTGCATTCCAGTGCACGGACTCCAACCGCTTCAAAAAGGGAATCTGTCTCAGTTGCCGGAAGAACCGTTGTAATAGCATTGGCTACAATGCGAAGAAAACAAGGAACAAGAGGAACAGCAAAATGTACCTAAAAACCCGGGCGGGCATGCCTTTCAGAGGTAACCTTCATCCCTGCCCTCATTGCCCTGGGAAAGGACCTTTTCCCTCCTTCCAAATACCACGCTGTGTAACAGGCACATTCCTGCACTTTGATCACATCATTGCAAACCAGATTATATTGTGCATGCCCTAGGAAAGTTAAATCTTTAAAAGTAAATGATGGGGGCTCCTTTGGTGTTGTGAATTATCACTCTATGATAGCAATATCAATAACTTAAAAATTCTATCTTGCATTTAGCTTTTCATATTTGTTTTCTCATTTGATTATCAAAATGATCAGAGATAGGCCCAACAGGGAATTGAAATGATATCTTACATTTTTGTAACATGTTATACAACTAAAAGGTTTTGAGGGTATTATATTCCATATGAGAAAATTGAGGTTCAAGAGGTTAATACCTTGTTCCTTAATTCAAGGTCACACAGCTCAAAAGTATCTAGGTCAGAGTCCCCCAAAGTTCTCCTAAACCCCGAGCTCAGGGCTCCTTCTTCCCTTTATTAAAATTTTTAATTGGAGAGATAATTGCTTTATCATATTGTGTTAGTAAATCAGCTATATATATATATATACTTGAATATCCTAGTCAAGGCAGGATATACTTATATATCTCCCTCTTGAACCTCCCTCCCGCCCCCTCCATCGCACCTCTCCAGGTCATCAAAGAGGGCTCCTTCTTCTATACTGCAGTGACCTCTTAGGCCATTGGAGAGAATGAGATCAGAGGGAGTTTAGAGGTTGGGCTGGACCTAAAGGATGTCAGTCCCTAAAAACTGACTGTGGTGGGTGACTCACTTTGGGTCAGGGTGTCCTAAGATGACAAGCGAGGCTCACAAATGTCTTTGTTCTCCTATCTCTGCAGTTTATCATTATCAGATGAAAATCCATGTCTTCAGCTACAAGAACTCGGGAGAAATGGAACCCACCTTTTATGTCACCCTTTATGGCACCAATGCCGAATCCCAGGTTCTGCCTTTGGAAATGTAAGTCATGGGTTTTCTTTGCTGGGTGCAGGACAGAGAACAAGTGGGAGAGAGTGCGCAGGGGCATGCGAGCACCTGCAGGGGAGCGGGTCTGCGTGCCGGGAGGCGCTGGGTGGTTCCTCCCTCCTGCTTCACTCTCTCGCCAGAGCCGTGGGCTCACATTTCTGGGAGGGAAGCTCCTGGGATGAATCAGCAGCGTGAGAATCTGCTGGATCAGCTGGGCAGAAACTGCTGTTTCATTCAGACAACACCTGATTCCCGAGCTTTAGGAAATTTGGAACCTAATACATGTCATCCGTGGCCCGTTTCCCATTATCTGTGGGAGGGGCACATGGTAATCAGTGTAGACCTGTTGAGCACTTGTAAGGTGCAAAGCGCCTTGCTGAGTAATGCTGGAATTGCCAAGGAATGCAATCAGAGTACTTGCTCTCAGGGCTGAGGGCTGAGCCAGGGGGACCAGACTTGTGTGCACAAACTCATGCACACAGATGGGGAGAGGCAGGCTTCCCTCGGTGCTGAGTGAGAGGGACAGACAGGAGGAGCTGGGAGTTCCCAGGGGAGATGGATGCCCGTGGGCTGAGGGGATGAGACGTCACTGAATGGGGATGTGACTTCTTTGCACTTTTCTCATTTCTGTTCTTTCCTGGTCCTGTTGTTCCCCACCCTCCCACCCTCCACCCCAGGAAGTTGCCTACATGATGAGATGCTCAGATTCTTGAGCATTGGATAGGAAGCTGGGGTGCCATGGGTGGTGTTAGCTCTCTGTTAGTATGGGGCACAACTGAGCTTCCATGCTGGTCCTGCTGCCAGGACGTGGAGGGTGTGGCAAGGGGGCCTCTTGTGCATTTCTCTCCCATCCATGAGGGGCAAGGGCTGTCACTGTGTCACCGCGCATAGCGCCACAGTCTCCAGGTGGTAGGGGACGGAGACCAGCTTTCCTGTCCTCTTGCAGGGTGGAGCAGATCGGGCTGAATGCCACCAACACCTTCCTGGTCTACACCGAGGAGGACTTGGGAGACCTCCTGAAGATCAAACTTACGTGGGAGGGCAAGTCTCAGTCCTGGTACAACCTGTGGAAGGAGCTTCGCAGCTACCTGACTCAGCCTCGCAGCTCCAAGCAGGAGCTGCATGTCAGACGCATCCGGGTCAAGTCTGGGGAAACGCAGCGGAGGTAAGTTTCTCATGAGCCTCTTCCTGCCCCAGGTCCATGGTCAGCAGAGGGTGTGTGCCACTGCAGAGTTCTTTTCTTGGCTGAGTGAGTGTGCTAAGGGCGTGTTAAGCCGCTTCAGTCGTGTCTGGCTCTTTGCGACCCTATGGGCCGTAGCCTACCAGGCTCCTTTGTGCATGGCATTCTCTGAGCAAGAACACTGGAGTGGGTTGTCATTTCCTCCTGCAAGTGTGCACCTTCCATCTTTTCCTATCCAAAGTATGTGGGCAAAACCACAAACGCTTTGCAAGGAAGACTGAATTCCAGATCAATTTGTGCTGCTTGTGCCCTGGTCACAGGCCCTGGGCTGAGACAGGTGGGCAAGTGGAGGCTGGAACCCAGCCCTTGTTCCATTTGCCAAGCCCTGTGCTGGCCTGGAGGAAGGGGGCTTCTCCTGGACAGGGCGCTTTATAGAGCTCCCTTGTTTTGTTTTAATATTGTTTAATATGCCATAGTATGAGTTCAAGTACTTTTTTTTTGGCGGCACCATGTGGGTAGCATGTGGGATCTTAGTTCCCCAACTAGGGATCAAACCCGTGCCTCTTGCAGTGGAAGCACAGATTCTTAATCACTGGACCAGAAGTGCTGCCTTGTCAATCTGTTTGCTCTGGGGTCTGTACAACCAGAAGTTGCATGAGGTCTGTGGGGGTCCCGGCTTCCCTGACATCCTGTCTTCAGATGATTCTATCCCTCCTTGGGAGGCTCTGATTCCAGGACGTGGGTGGGGCCTTAACATCAAAGAACAGAGATTCCTCTGTGCTATGCCAGCTGGCAGTTTCCCCATGTCTGTTAACCCAAGCCTAACATGAAAATCCACACCTAAATCAGCCCCTGAAACGTGCCTTGACTTTCTGAGCAGCTTCTGGCTAAGTGGGAGCCAGGAAGCCTGGAAGACATTTGTTAAGAGAGGAGGGTTTCCTTGGCCAGACCCTTCAGCCAGCCTCTGGGAGGTCATTGCCAGCCTTGGGTTGATGGGAAGCAGGTTCCACTCTCTCTACTTCTTCTGGCATTTTCTCCACTACAGTTCTTCAAGTGTCTCATTTCTGTCCATCACCTACAGGGCATCTTGGCCATGCAGGGGTGGAGGCTTGGGTCGCTCATCTGAGTGATTCTGGTCTAGAGACCTGGGCACTGGGGCGTGGTGGGGGTGGGTGCTTACCGAGAGGAACTATTAGCACAAAGGCTATGGCCTAGATAATCGTGTGTATTTCTCCTTCTCTTGATGCTTGAAAGTGCAGCCTGTGCCGATGTGTGGCAGCTGAAAGGTGATCATTTTTTATTTTTGGTACTTTCCTTTTTGGCCACATTGCCCAGCATACGGGATGTTAATCCCCCCACCAAGGATCGAACCTGTGCCCCGTGCAGTGGAAACGTGGAGACTTAACCCCTGGACCATCAGGGAAGTCCTGAAAGATGGAAGCAAATTTAATAACCCACCAAGATTTAACAAATGTGAACCATTTTCCATATTGGTTTCAGATATGAGATTTTAAAAAGTAAAACATTACAGATGGAACAGAAGCCCCTCTGCTGCCTGACTCCTGCCCTTTCAAGCCAATTGTACTCATCTTCCAACATTAACACATGTTAGTGTTTCCCTCTTCATGATGTTTATACCTTCACTACCTCTGTTTGTATCTGTGTGCAACCTGTAGACTTGTTTTGGTTCCTTCTGAAGTTTACACGAGTGGACATATTCCTTTCAAAGTTGCTTTTCTCCATTCAACATAGTTTATGAAATTTATCCAACACATATCGATCCCATCTATTCATGTTTAGGCTTTCCAGGTAGCTCAGTGGTAAAGAATCTGCCTGTCAAGGCAGGAGCTGCAGGAGACATGGGTTTGATCCCTGGGTTGGGAAGATCCCCTGGAGAAGGAAAGGGTAACCTATTGTGGTATTCTTGCCTAAAAAATCTCGTGGACAGAGGATCCTGGCAAGCTACGGTCCATGGGGTCGCCAAGAGTCAAACATGACTGAAGGACTGAGCATCATTCATGTTTAACTCCTGAATGCAAGCCATCATTGCACAAACAATAGTTTCACTGTTGTCCTGCTGCATATTTACGTTGTTACTTTCTTGCCGCCCTAAGCAGTGCTGAGATGGCCATCCTGGGGTGTTTTCCTTGTGCACATGTGTCAGGGCTTCCTGTGCTGTCTTGTGCTTAGTCACTCAGTCAGTGACTGAGTCTGTGACCCCGTGGACTGTAGCCCTCCAGGCTCCTCTGTCCATGGGGATTCCTCAGGCAAGAATACTGGAGAGGGTAGCCTATCCCTCCTCCAGGGGATCTTCCTGGCCCAGGAATCGAACCTGGGTCTCCTGCATCGTAGGCAGATTCTTTACAGGTTGAGCTACCTGGGAAGCCCACGGGCTTCTTGGGGACATGTTTAATCACTGGGTTATAGTATATGTATTTACCAACTGGACTGGATATTAATCCCTTTCCAAAGTGTTTGGACTAATTTTTCATCTCAGCCAGTGAGAAAAAGTTCTCTTTTTCCCCCTCCTTTGGTGGATATTCTTGCCATTTCATTGGGTGTGAGTTGGTCACCTACTGCTGTTTTCATCTGTATGTAATGGGTGTTTGTGGACTGTTTGGGTTTCTTGGTAAAGGTTCAGAAGACTATTCAGAATGTGACTTTTGTCCTACTGGTAAGCATCATGGTCAGATTTACAGGCCATGGGGTCACACTGACCACACATCACCAAGGCTGGTGGGCTGGAAGTTGGGTTGTATGTTATAGTTGAAATAGTTTTAAGACTACTGATTCTTCCTGTGATCTTTGTTGTCTACTTCCTGAATCTTTTCTATTGACTCACAACTGAGTTCCAGTTATGCTTGTCAGTGGGTATTTCTGGACACCATGCTGGAGGGACCTTGAGTTCCTTCACTCAAGGAGTTTATAGTCCACTACAGATATAGGAATCCACAGTTATTCAAGGCAGGATATAATGTGCTAAAACGAGATAATGCCTTCGCTATTAACTCTGTGCCATAAGAAGTAATGACAGTAACAAAAACAACATTTATACAAGGGATGTGCCAATTCATTAAATTGGGAAGTCAACAGAGGGTTAGCTTAGTAAGGTCTCAAGCAGTCAGGGAGGCTTCAGAGAGGTTATGCCTTGGAAGGCAGGTGTCCGTTTGGACAGACAGAGGGAAGAAGATGGAAGGGGTGTGATTAAAGGCTGCATGAGCCGAATCATGGGAGATATCCAAGTGAGACCCTTTTGGTGTGCTTGTCGCAGTGGTGGGGAGTTCTGAAGGGTCTTGAGTCAGGATGGGCGATATGAAAACTTCTCTTTTCTTCTTACTCCATCTGCCTTGGATCTAGAAAGTACCGTATGGCTGATGCACAGCCGTGTCCCCACCTCTGGAGCTTTGGCTACATCAGTGGTTTCTTTTTCCTTCTAGATTGACTTTTTGTGCAGAAGATCTTGAGAACACTCTTATATCGCCTGGCCAAGAGCTCTGGTTTCACAAGTGTCGGGATGGCTGGAGAATGAAAAATGAAACCAGGTAAGCAGGATGTTCTCAGAGGTTCATGCAGTGCTTGTTGACAGGTCCCTAGGTGTAGGCTGGATGTGCGTCTGGGCACTTGGGACATAGAAGCCAACAAAAGCCAAGGAAGGTCCCTTCCTTTATGAGGCCAACCTTCTGCTGGAAGGAAATAGATGAATCAGTGCGACAGGAAGTTGGATGCTGTGAATGTCTCTTTGCCTCTTGTTCTGCTTCATGCTGTGGGTGTCACAGCCGTGGTCCTGCTGGAATGAGGTCTTTCAGTGACCAAGTCCCCAAGCTTGGTACCCAGGTTGCCATCTTAGATTGAACTTCTGTGTAGAGACCAGGGCCATGGGAAGTTCCAGGGCTCCTGGTTGCCTTCTGGGCACCTGGGTGGAGTGGGGTGTTGGGGGGAGGAAGGGAAAAGCACAAGGCTTGCTCCCCTTTTAAGATTTTCTGGGACCCAGGTTGGTGTGAGTGGATATAAGTAGGCAACTCTCTCCCTTTCTCTTTTCTGACCGTGAGGCATATGGGAATCTTAGTTTCCCAACCAGGGATCAAGCCTGTGACCCCTGCATTGGAGGCGTGGAGTCCTAATCACTGGGCCACCAGGGAAGTCCAACTTTCTCCCTTCCTGAAAAGCAGGAACGCTCACTGTGCACGTCGCTGAATCAGACAAAGGGGTCCTCTTGCTTCGGTGTCCCTCTTGCCCCGAGCTGGAGTCTCATTATTTCAGAATTGAGGAAGGCTGATTCTGTGGTATGAGGCAGTGGGTCCATTCAGAGGGGGCCTCAGTCATACACCCTCTGAGCCTAAATGCCTGCTGAGCAGGAGGGAGACGCCCCCCGCCCCCCACTCAGGTCCCAACTCCTGGCCCACTCAGTGGTACTAAATTACAACACTGCCCAGCATGTAGACGTGCCCACCCTGCGTTCATGCTTCCATACAGCATCTCATCTACTTTGATCAAGTCCACAATGCTGGTGCTGTTAACCTTGTGGACGGTTGGGGGACCTGAGACTCAGGGAGGTTAGGTCACTCTTTCCAGGTCCCCCAGTTGGTGACAACTGAGTGAGGATTTGAAGCTGTTGGTTCACTCAAAATCCTGTGTTCTTTCTTGAGCATGGAGGTTCCACTTGCTCAGATGAGTCACTTCGCCTCGATCTGGGTATCAGTTATCAAGCAGCTGCACCCATGCTGGGGTCCCCCTGTGATTAGCTGTCTGCCAACCCTGAGGGTTGAGCTACATCCTGGCTGCTCTGTCTTCTGTTCAGGAGCATCAGCGTGACTACAAACTTGGAGCTCACAGGACTTGTGGCATCCTGAAAACTGCTCATTTAATTAAGAGACTCAGTCTAGAGTAGGCTTGTAAGACTTTCTGCTATGATAATAATTTTAATTCTTCATGTCTGTATTTAAATTTATACCTTTCCAAGTGCTTCCACACATTTTAACTTCACCGATTCTTGGAACAGCCATGTAAATTGCACACTTGGGAAGGATTACTATTCTGATTGCTATTCTGACATACTTTTTTTCCCACTCCAGAACTTCCTAACAGTTGAGAATGCCATAATTCTCTTAAAATATCTCCTTGAGAAAACAAGTTGTCCTTTCCTTTGCCCTCAATAGAATAGAAAACCACAGGATCCCCAGTAATAAATTAACGCCAGGAAGTGGTGACATCTCTGGACTTGTCTTACACCTTCAGTAGTCTCTCTCTGGCTATGAATGCTGTTCATCTGTTCACAAAGAAGGAGACTGAGACTCCATAGTGCGTTAGTGTAGCTGAGACTAGAACCAAGATCTCTCGACTCTGCCCCTTTCCTATCATACTGCAGGCTCTCCTGTGTTTTTAGAGCAAAGCAGAGAGGACTTGGCCATTCTCCCTGCGGTTGCGTGTGTGTGTGTGTGTGTGTGTGCGCGCACATGTATATGCATGCTGAAGGTGATTATTTTGCTACATATGCAGGTGTCAGCACTGAGGTGTAGGGAGCGAGGAACCCATAGAGGGCTCTGATGTGGTGTTTCTCAAATTGTCTCTGTGGCTTCTTGGGGGAGGGGGAGGAAGGAGCACTCAGGTTTGTTCTGAAAGGGAAGAAGGTAAAACAGGCGGAGAAGAGTGGAAGAAAGCTTGGTCTTGTGGTAAGCGGAGGTGCATAGCTGCGAAGCCAGCTAACAACTCCGCACCCACGTGGTTCCTTTCAGTCCAACTGTGGAGCATCTCTGAGGGCCCGCCACCCACCCGACTTCCAAGCACGTGGAGGGACGTTACAGCAGAAGAGCCGCCTGATGGTAGGACCCGGCTTGGCCCTGTCCCTGGAGCCCTGGGAGGAGCCCGCCCGCGGGGCCAGCTCTGTGCCTCCCGGGAAGGCTGGGGCTTCTCACCGGAGGGGACCGCACACCGCCCTGTCTGCTGGCCCCGCTGCTGCTCTTGGACTGCTCTCTCTCCAGGTCTGTGAGCAGAGGGCCGGTGCCCCAACCTCTGCGCCCACCAGGCTGGTTTCTCAGTGACTGCATGAGCCTGTGTTTCGCCTGATGAGGGTCACGGGCTCTGAGCATCTCTGTGTGGAAGGCTGTCCGCTGCCTGACCTCAGCCTGACTTGAGTGAGAGGTCTTTCTGCTGGAAGCTGGCTGGTGTCAGGACCTGGGACCTTGTTCGCTGAGGGAGGGGAGAGTAGGTCTGGGAGCTGCAGAGCCTCTCACTCTTGGGGTTTGATGGGTAACTAGTCACATGTCCCAGTTATATTTTATTCCGTCCTGCTCCCCAGCTTCCTTCCTAAAGCACACATCATTGGCATTCTTATTTTTTCCATTGCTCATTTTTTAACTGGACAAATATTTGCTAAGCACTGATAGTTAGCAAGTGGCAATAGACACCTTAGTAAATTTCTGCAGAGCCTCTCCTCATTTGAAGCCTAATGGGTTTGGGATGTCTAGACTTCCTTCCAGTTTAGATGATCCATGACTACGCACGAGGGGCACTGAGGGTTTATAGGATCTAAGAGTTGGGGACCCTGAGGCTTCAAGTGGTTTCTACCTATTTCTTCTTCATGGACATGCATCCTCCTTCAGAGTGACATCTTTGGTCACCAGCAGAGTGTCACCATGTGTCTTGGGGACAGAATGGTGACCAATTGCTGGATACGATTGGCAAAATCTCTTCTGTGTAGGAAGATGGGAAGGGATTACACATGTCTGTTCATATGCAGACCAGCACACAGCAGATGCCAAGATGTGATTAATGCCATCCTTGTTCCTTCTTGAATTATCTGGTCCAAACACCAAGTTCGGCCCTTTCTGTGCCGAACTTCTTTGAAAAGCCCCCACTTCTAGATCTTGATCTGAATGAATATACATGATATCTGAGGAACCCTTTTGTAATTTTCAAAAGATTTAAACATGCATGACTTAATTACAGACTCATAACAGAAGGTGAGCAGGGCAGCTACTATTATCTCTATGTTACAAAACCAAGGCTTAGCGAGGTTCAGCCACGGGCCTAGAATTATATATCAGGTTGATAGTGGAGCCCGGTGAAGACCCAGACTTCCTGGAGCCAAAGCCTGTGGTATGCACATCTCTACAACTTCACCAGTTTTCCTACAGCCATTTCCTACCAACATGCCCCAGACATGACAAGGAAGGTTTTTCAGAGCCATCCATGAAACCCTAAACCCTTTTATTAATAGAGAACTGGGAGGACAACTGTGCCAAGCGGTTGGGATTTTTATGGATGAATATTATTTGGAAGGCGTTGTGATGGCAGGTGGGGTTGGGGGGAGAGCTATTTTCTCTGTAATTAGGTTTTTAAGTGTTAGTGTTAGTTGCTGAGTCGTGTCCGACTCTTTGTGACTCCATGGACTGTAGCCCGCCAGGCTCCTCTGTCCATGGGATTCTCCAGGCAAGAATACTGGAGTGGGTTGCCATGCCCTTCTCCAGGGGATCTCCCAACCCAGGGACTGAACCTGGATCTTCTGCTTTGCAGGTGGATTCTTTGCTCTCTGAGCCACCAGGGTCAAGAAGATCCCTGGAGAAGGGAATAGCTACCCACTCCAGTATTCTTGCCTGGAGAATTCCATGGACAGAGGAGCCTGGCGGGGCCACAGTCCATGGGGTCACAAAGAGCTGGACATGACTGAGGGACTAACACTACGTTTTTAAATGACATTGTTTTCACCTGTATTGTGCCAAAGTTGTATCATTGTTCAATGCCAAACTTCTGAAGACATAAGCAGTCAAAGACCTCAGTTCAAAGTATTTTCTCAATCCAGTTATGTGCTATTCCTGTTGCTTCTGTGACTGCTTTCTAGACAAAGTAAAGTTTGTGTTATGACTGTGCATCCTGGTCACTTTCTGCTCCTGCATTTGTAACGGAAGCCTTGGGAATGGAATCCTCAGTGGGTCCTGTATTTATACATTCGGCTAGAAGCCTTATTTGTATATAATGATGCTTTTTTAAATGCTTAGAATGCTATTTATTTCTCAAGTGTATATAATGTATAAAAACAAATGTATGGTTAGTTTTTACTTTATGATTAACCGTTTTTAAGATTAAAATTTTTAATAGTAAAATAAATAAAAATATACAAAATTCTTCATGGTCTAGCATCTCATTTCTTAAAATTTGAAGTAATTTTGGCTGCTTAAGCCTAGGGTTTAACAAAACAGTTACTTTAATGTAAAATATGTTCTCTGTTTGAATCTAATTGTTGGTAAGAAGTGGACAACAACTCCTTTCACTAAAGAACAAAAGAGAAATTATTTGACTTGCAGTAGAAAGTCCAGGTGGTTCAGTGGTAAAGAATCCAGCTGGCAATGCAGGAGACACAAGAGAGGCAGGTTTGATTCCTGGGTAGGGAAGGTCCCCTGGAGGAAGAAATGTCTACCCACTCCAGTATTCTTGCCTGGAAAATTCCATGGACAGAGGAGCCTGGAGGGCTGCTGTCCACAGGGTCACAAAGAGTCAGAAATGACTGAGCATGCATGCACAGATGCACAAAGTCCTGAAGGTGGATGTTTGGAAGAATGGGGAGGACCTAGGGGAATATCGGTGAGGATACAGGTTTGGTCTCATGAGATCTAGATGACAGTGACTTAAACCAGATAGAAGATGAATCCTATATTATGTTAAAGTCCCCAGGTGGTACTGAGGTTGTGTTCCCTAAAGCCAGGCTCTTAGTTTTTGCTGTGACATTCATAGGATGTTTCCCTCACCACACAGTCCGAAGTGTCCCCCATTAGGTCCACTTCTAATCCCTGGGAAGTCAGAAAGGGAGGACATGTTCCCTTTTAGTAGCATCATTGAGGAGTTGCCCACATTCTTTGGCTAGAAAACAGTCAGATGATCACACCAGAAGCTAGCAAATACTGTCCTCTTCTTTTCTAAAGATTTATTTATTTGGCTGTGCCAGGTATTAGTTGCTGCATGTGGAATTTTCAATCTTCATTGTGGTGTGAAGCTTTTTAGTTGTGGCATGAGAACTCTAAGTTGCAGCAGGTGGGATCTAGTTCCCTGACCAAGGATCGAACCTGACTCCCCCGCATTAGGAGCACGGAATCTTAGCCACTGGACCACCGGAGAAGACCCAGGAAAATGATGTCTTTATTCAGGGTGCCTGGGGGCCTAGCTGAAATTGCAATTACTATTTATAAAAATGGAAATGGATATTGCCAACTGTTCATTGGGAATTCATTTTTATCCCCTTTAAGTCATCCTTTAAATTATTCCATCTTGTAGTCAATTTGTAGTCAACTAGACCTGATTTATCACTATGAAACTGATGGAGTACATACATTTGACTTTATTTCTAGTCTTAAATGTTAAAACATTTTAAAATGAGAAGACTCCCCCCTGCAAGGGGTCTTCATGATGGTGGGAGATGTCTGCTCTTAGCTTCCCCCCGAGACATTCTGAAATACTAGTCCTTAATCATGAATGCAGGGGAGGGATGGGCTCAGAGAGTAAGAAATATGTTCTTAGCCTTGTTCAGGGAACAGAAGAAAGGGCTGAAACCTTCTTTCTGGCCAACGAAAGGAATTTTTTGAAATTGCCCAAAGGTAGAGGTGTAGCCTGGGTGCCTCCCTTGTGTCTTGTCTGACTTGGGGGTTCAGTGCTGCCCCTCTGGAAACTGGAGTCAGGGAACTTTCAGGGGGCTTTCTTTGATTCTACAAATGGAAGCTCTGAACTCCTGGGAAAGATGGATGTCAAGTAGGTACTAGAATAGCCCTTGTTACCAATGTGGTTTTCTTAGTTTCCGCCTCTGTTTCCAGAGCTACGCTGGGCCCTTGGCCGTGTTATTTCTAAGTGGGCTGAGATTTTTACCTGGCTAGTTTGCTGTCGCCATCCTAGATCCTAGAATAGTGTCTAGAACATTTAAGGTGTTCAATAGGTATTTATATTAATGACTAAAATTAGGTACAAGAAATCAGCTGTTTAAACAGGCAGTAGGGGAATTGGGAAAAGACCAATCAATCTAGAGTCAGAAATACTGGGTTGCCACTGAGGATTATGTGAACTCTAGGCTAAACACAGTCTTTCTGAACCTCTATTTACTCATCAGAGACAAAGAGATAATAACTTGCAGGGTTGTTGTGATTATTAAATATATACAGTAAAAAGTTTTCTGTGTTTTGCAAACATTTGAATTGGGAAAGGACAAAGACAGAAAGAAAATTCTTTTTTATGTAAATGTGGAAATTTATGTATGATAAAGGGGCTCCATTAATCATTGGTGAGGGAATGGATGGTTCCCAGGATAGATGATGCCTGGGAAAGTAGACTCAACTAAAGGAGAGACATAAGATTAGATCCCTATCTCACATCATTTGCAAAGATTAATTCCATTTGGATGAAATCTATAAGTAGGAGAAGGGATTTCCCTGGTGGTCCAGTGGCCAAGACTCAGCACTCCCAGTGCAGGGGGCCCAGGTTTGATCCCTGGTCAGCGAACTAGATTCCCACATGCCACAGCTAAAGAGCCATCACGTGCAGCTAAGACCCAACACAGCCAAATAAATACATATTTTAAAAAACATAAAAGAAAGCCATGTTAAGAGATGCTAAGAAAAATCAATTTGAAATTTGGGTAAAACCTGAGAAAAATTTTTAAGATGTCACAATTGGGACTATAAGAAGTAAATAATGTGAGTAGATCAACAAATATTAAAGAAATTGAAAAGCTAATAAAAGAGTCTCCTTTACCTCACATACTCAAAAAACTCCCTAGTCGTAGAGGTTTTACTGGGAAGTTCTGAGGTCATTTGGGTGGGTCCTAATTCAATATGACTAGTGTCCTTATAAGACATCAGGGAGGCTTGCATACAGAGAAAAAACCATGTGAGGACACAGACAGAGGGTAATCATACATAAGCCAAGGAGAGAGGCATCAGGACACACCAAACCTGCCAACACCTTGATCTTAGACTTTCAGGCTCCAGAATTGTGAGAAAATAAATTGTTTAAGCAACGACCTAGAATGTCAATGTCAATGGCCTAGAATGATTTTAGGCATGAAAGAGCAATTTCCAACTTGCTGTTCAAACTGTTCCAATGTTTTTTTATTGTTTTCTCAAGGCAAGTTTCTTAGAAAGGTTGTCAGATTTGCAGGGCAGGGCAGGTCATGCAGAGGCTGAATATAAGTGTCGCAGTTGCTGGAGAGAAATGAGAAGGCCCTGGAGGGGGTTGGGAATAAGGCCCCCCTCCCCACCTCCAAGAGTAGATGGGGGGATGAGACAAAGCACACAATCTGGTCAACCCTGCCTTGTATAAAAGAAGAGAGTCGTTATTAAAAGAACAATATAAATTGTGCTATATTGCACAATGCTATAAGGGTTATAATGGAGAAGGAAACGGCAACCCACTTCAATATTCTTGCCTGGAGAATCCCATGGGCAGAGAAGCCTGGCGGGCTATAGTCCATGGGGTTACAAAGAGTCAGACACAGTTTAGCGACTAAACAACAAGGGTTACAAGGGCTTCCTTGGTGACTGAGTGGTAAAGAATCCACAAGAGACTCGGGTTTGACCCTTGGGTCAGGAAGATCCCCTGGAGGAAGGAAATGGCTACCCACTCCAGTTTTCTTGCCTGGAAAATCCCATGGACAGAGCAGACTGCTGGGCTACAGTCCTTGGGGTCGCACAGAGTCAAGTGTGAATGAGCGTGAATATGAGCATAAAGTTTATACTTCTAGGCAGTCTGTAATTTATGAATAAACTTTCATTTTAAAATTCAATGTTGAGAATGTTCAAGCTGTCCTCCATAGAAACAGTGCTAGAAACTATAGCTATATTCCCAGTGTTGCTAGACCACAGGCCCCACCACTTGGGTTCTGAGTCAGGATTCGGGAAGGAGGGGGAAAACAAGACCAGCTCTTTCAAGGTAGACTCTAGTTCAGTATTGAACTAGATAAGTTTGTTAGGGAGTTGAAAGAGGAGATGACTGTAGCTCAGTCAGTAAAGAATCTTCCTGCAATGCAGGAGACCCGGCTTGATTTCTGGGTCAGGAAGATCCCCTGGAGGAGGAAATGGCAACCCACTCCAGTATTCTTGCCTGGAGAATCCCATGGACACAGGAGCCTGGCAGGCTACAGTCCATGGGGTCATAAGAGTCGGACAGAACCTAGCGACTAAACCAGTCACCACTGAAGTTTGTCAGTCTCTGACATTTCTTTTTTATGTCTCGTGCTTTCTTCACTGTACATTGTGATAGGAGCATTTTTCTTGTTGCAATAAAGTTTACTGATCTCTTTTTATTTATTCTTTCATTTTGTTGATTTTTTTGAAACTTCGTTTATTTTTAGTTGGAGGATAATTGCTTTACAATATTGTGTTGGCTTCTGCCATACGTCAACATGAAGCAGCTGTATGTCCTTCCCTCTGGAACCTCCCCCTGCCCCCCCACCCCCTACTCTGTCTCCTCTAGGT